CTGTTTCTACTCTCAAAGACAAACTGTCATTTCTCCAGTGACTGAAGCAAGTCACCATTTCTCTTTCTAGAACGTGATGTGGGCTCAGAAAATTGCAACGGTTAATTTTAATATAGAATTGGGATAAAACAACAATGACCAAGATTGAAGAGACGGATTATTTCTAAAAATCTATTTGATTTAGGGGACTTTACAGCACCAACCACGCTCGCGGTTAGTTATTCTAGATTCAGTTCTGAAGATCCATTCTGCCTACGGTTTTCTTGAATTGATAGATTGATGGGGCTTGCCACAAATAACACCTCAACACTCACGATCCGTTTTTAATTTTCCCCACTGAAATGAGAATGCAGCCTTTGAATAAATATTGTTTACAGTTGTTGAAAATCCCATGTAAATATATCAATTCCCACTGGCTCTCATTCCATTTCTCTGTCATTTTCACAGGCAATTTTTACAGGGAAGTTGTGTTGCTCTTAACCACCTACCCTTATTTTCTAATTTCCCTTTAATGGTTTTGTGTCCCACGTTTAATTTAAGAATGGATTGCTTATGTTTCACTTACAAACCTCCCTTCTAATCATTGTTATTAATATCACCATTTGGTTGTAATATCTGTAAGAGCACAAAATGTGTCTCCTTAAAGAGGCATTTGCCAAACACCGAACTGCATACATTTCAATTACGAGTCTGCCTCATAATTATTATTATTAATATCACAATTATTATTGTAATATCGATCAGATTGCAGAAGGTGTCCTGTCAAGGATGCATTTACAAACAGCTCTTTCAGTTTCCTCTTAAGAGAAATGTGCCAGACTTTGTCTAAATCCAACTGGCCCTAGAAGTTACATTAGACAACACGCTCCATCAATAAAGCCATCAGAATGATCTACTGCGCTGTAGACAAAAGTTATTGTATCAAGTTGACACTAATCAGTTAATTCCAGTAAACCTTCAGATAAACAAAAGCTTGTTGTCTATTACTGGTGTGTGTGTGTGATGGGCCCCTTCTATGTCGGATGGTGATGCCCATCTATAGAGATGTATCTGGCAGACACTTGCCCTGAGGCATCTATATGGAAACTGAGACAAGATCTATAGCTAATGATGTTGACCCTGACTCCCCCAACAGAGATTGAATTCAAGTCCTCATAATATCTCGACAGCTGATATGTATACTGTGCTAATAATGATATTAACAATTACTATGCCACTGGGATTCCCTAGGCCCTGGCTTGAAAAAGCACTTTTAAAGCTTCTTCCCCTTTATTGGAACTAAGTTCCTTGTTGACACAGGTCATTACCAGTGTCTCTCCAAGTGTGAGTTTCTGAACAGAGAAATGCTTTTTTAAATGAAGGTGGTCATATTCATTAGCAGTGCCAGATGAGTCAGGTTCTGGAGAAGTGAGGTCCCAGGAAAGGTTTACAGCCCCTTGTCCCTGGCCGTGCGGGCTGGTAGCAACTTCCCATTGTTGATGGTGTGGATCAGGAGGGGACATTGGGAAGGTCACCAGGCTTTCACTGAACTGGTTCTCCCTGGGCCCAGAGAGCAGCCCACGGGTCCCTGCTTGGCACAAGTGGGTGACCGAGACACTGGAGATCCATTTGTCTGCTCAGACACAGCCGGAGGGAAAAGGAAGGCTGACCCAGGTTCTCTTTCCTCTCCATACTTCTCCTCCCATTGCTAATAAATGGGAAAGGCCAGGGCAGTCTCACAGGCCACGAAGAAGCTTAGGATGAAATGTTGACAGGGGGCACTGTTAAAAATTAAATTCCGCCCTATTTTGTGTACCATTCTTGTGAGTCACATTCGTGAATAGTAGCGAGAGATTTAATGATCGCATATTTTTTATCTTATTTCCCTTCGGTCGATGGCAATTTTTTTCTGTTAATGTCAACTTAGAGCTCAAAGTAATTTAGTAATTGATTCTAAGCACAGCAGTTCGCCAATGGCAGCTCTCCATTTGTGGGGAATATCTTTGCTAATTTTATCCATCAGAATGAGATTACCATGCTAATCTCTCCCAGCCTCATCTCTTGGTCATTTGGGACATGCTGATGCAAATGACTTATTAGACACAAGGCCTCCGTCCATTCCCAGGATCAGGGGGAAGATGAAAGGAAGCCAAGATAAGGCTCTTAACAATGCCCTAACATACACAGATGGTATGCATGCCTAATACTAAAATGATAAAACCCTAAATTGGAAACCCAAATAAGAACTCGTTACTTGACAGATGAAAAATACAATGGATCACAGTATATTAAGTACCTCGATAGGAACAAACAAAAAGAAGGAGGGCAGGATGAATGTAACCAGGGACCAGTAATTGGAAACCTAAACATGCATTGGGCCAGAGAACCCTAGAGGCCGGACGTCAGGTGGAGGGAGGAGGACGCCCTGAATGAGATGAGGTGGAGGAAACCAAAATGGCTCCACTAACAGAAGGATGGAGGTGAAGTCTACAGACAATCTGTCTGACTATTTTCAGTGAATGACTGGTCCCTGACTAAGTTAGTGATTGGTTGTTTGTCTGATTTAATTAAAATGCTCAAACCAGCAAGAGCGTGTGTGCTAAAAATAGCCTGAAACTAGTTTGGGTTCCACATACACAATAGGGTATTGTAGGACACAATGAGGCTGAAAGGCCTCCCCAGGACACGGCCAGTGAATAGACACATTCCAAAATGCTTAGCTGGATACTTAGAGGCAGATACTTAGAGGGAGTTCAGGAAAAATCAGCTTCTATGGTTCAGGTAAGAAGGGGTTTAAACAAGAAAAAATTGCTGATATGGTAACTGGGTGAGTGTTTATGGAGGCAGAAAACATCCCAGAAAGAAAATATATTTAACATTTAGATGCCTGATGCCAGATCAAAAAAAATAAAATAAAAATTTGATGCTGCTTCCTCCAGGCTGAATCTCTTTCAAGTTCCCACATTAAAATTTTAGCCAACTTTCAAATCCAGCCTCAAAACCTTCACCTGTATGAAGCCTTTCTTGAGTTCCCCACAACTGCAACAATAACACGTAAGTAAGTATTGAGGGCCTGTTATGTATTGAACATCCAGGACTCGATATGAATAGGACAGAGGTGAGCTTGACCCTCATGGAGCAGAATCTAATGGAAAAAATAAACAATTAACAAGCACACAAAATAACTTTAATTAATTATAATAAAATTTCCATAATTATTTCAAATTTAGTAGAATCAAATTAATTATAAAATACTTAACAGTAATTGCAGGCAGAAAAAAACAGTAAGTGCAAAGATCCTGAGGCGCAGAGCTTACATTCCGTGTTTGGGATGTTTGATGAATTGGGAATGTGAGCTGAAGGGAGAATGGCACATGGCAGATCTCTCTGAACACTGAGGCAACTTTCTTATCTATTTCTTTTTTTTTTTTTAAGAGAGAATGAGAGAGAGGAGAGAGAGAGAGAGAGAGAGAGAGAGAGAGAGAGAGAATTTTCAATATTTATTTTTCAGTTCTCGGCGGACACAACATCTTTGTTGGTATGTGGTGCTGAGGATCGAACCCGGGCCACACGCATGCCAGGCGAGCGCACTACCACTTGAGCCACATCCCCAGCCCTCTTATCTATTTCTTTTGATAATATATCTTCCTCCATTTTATATTTGATCAACTGTTCCCTTGTCTGATTTCTGATCTAGGAACAGTTAAGAGCATGGGTTTCTTAAGCAGACTATATAGTTTACATGGTGGCTCAGTCACTGCTGAAGGATCACGGACAAGTTTGAACCTTTCTAAACCTGATTTTTAAAGTAGGGGTCACAAGAACAGAACCTACCTCTGGAGTTGTGAGAATTAAGGAATGAATACAAGGAATGCCTTGAGAAAAATACCGGTGTGTAGTGAGTGCTGCAGAGACGTTGGTTATCATTATGATTATCATAACTGGTGTCTAAGTTCCTCTAGGACTGCTGGCCTTTGCCTTAAAGCAGCAACTTGCATGTCATTTTGTAATAGTAGGCTCTCCTAGGATGTGTATTGAATCTATTACAGGTAGAACAGAGACAGATACCCATCTATCCATATATATGTCACAAACACACACACACACGCACACATTTATTTATTTTATTTTATCTATTTTTTATTTTTTGGTGCTGGGAATTGAACTTAGGGCCCTATTAATGCCAGGCAAGCACTCTACCACTGAGCTACATCTTCAGTCAGACTAATACATTTTTATAAACACCAGTGATGAAATGATTTTAACAGAGTCATAATTCATTATGCAGCAACTTCTTTATCTGTTCTTTTTCATTGCTTACCAACAGAAAGAGATTATCTGCAGGAAGAACTAAGACTGAAATACCATTTAACAAAGGCCACTCACAGGCAAGTCAATATAAATAAATGGAAAGCAACACTATTCAAAGTTAATTTTTGTCCTTTCTTCCTTCAATTGGAACTGTTTTAGAATTTAGGCAAAAACCAAATGATGGTTTAAAAGTTTTTTTTTTTAATTCTGTGTTCTATTTGGTTGATATAAATAATTGCATGTATATTTACATTTCATTCTATTCCATGAGGATTTGAAATTGCTTTATGCATTTTTTGTATAAAAAATAAAATTATATAAAACTCTTTTTTAAAATTCTGTGTTCTATGTTCAATAACACTTAGCTTATGTCTGAGTTTTCATATTCCCTTCCTGTAGGAGGTTTCAGGAGTTTTGACCATCAAGGATGAGTTGTTCTTGGCCAAAGCTGATTGTTACAGAGCACTTTATACCTCAGCCTTTGGTGTAGGAATGTAGTTGTGATGATCTATTTTAGCCTCAATCGTGTTGGAATCTTCAGTAATATACATCCAGGTGTTTTGAAATTTCTTTTATAAATAAAACTCCAATAATCCTTCCACATTTATTCCCATTTGTTTATCCCAATTCACTTAAAGAGTACTGAATGGCTAATAAGAGAAGTGGTGGAATGGAAATAGTACAGCCCAGGATTCAAATCCCAGTTCTGACCTTCAGGTGGGACAATCCTTATCTATTCCTCCTTTTGGAGGGCAGATGGAACAGGATGATTGGAGTTTGTATGGTGATTAGTGTCTATGAATAATAAGGACTTGCAACACTCTGATTGCTCCTATCCGATTCAAAATAAAATCTCAGTTCTGCTATAATTGCTTAGGACTTTTGGCTCACTTATTTAATCTCTCTAAACTTCACTTTTCTTTATACAGATGTAATACTTGTTTCATAACGTTAGTGTGAAGATCAGAGAAAACACACACACACACACACACACACACACACACACACACACACTGACCTTCCACAGGGCTCCATACATGTATGAGTTTCTTATAGCTGCTATAACAAATTACCACAAATTTATTGAGGTAAGACGACAGAAAAAATTTCCCTGACAATTCCAGAGACCAGAATTCTGAAGCCAGCATCACTGATATCTCAAGAATCAGCACCATTCTATCAGCTCCATGTCTCCTCCTGCTTTCTGTGGCTGCCACCCTCTTGTGACTTGTGCCCACCTCACTCTGCATCTCTGCTGCGGTACCAGGTTTTCTTCTCTTCTTCTTTCTCTTCTCCCTTGCCTTTCTATTATAAGGATCCACGTGGTCACATTAGGCTCATCTGGATTATCTCTATAATCTCCTCATCGCAGGCTCCTTATCTTACATCTGTAAAGATATTTCCATACAGATTCACATTCAGAGGTTGCATGGATCCAGACCCGATATCTTTGGAGGTCATTATTTTAGCCTACCATAAAATTTGTCGGAATTGACTAAATTACTTATTATGACAATAGTGATTAGAGAAAATAAAATTTTAAAAATTTTAAAAATTTAAATTTTAAAAGTTTCAAAATTCTAGAATAATAGGTTAATTTAAAATTGAGAACAGTTTAATGTGCTTTGCGTAGTAAATGTGGTAGGGAAGCATGAGAGTATTAAATGCCCATCCTGCTGTCCCGTATGACATCATCACTTACATCATCTATTTGGGCCTCAATTTCTTCTTTTGTCAGCTGGGGACAGCCACAGTCATGGGGTTGTCATGAGGGCTAAAGGAAGTTATTCATGAAGTGTTTTCTCAATGGCAGCTCCCATTGATTCCAAAATAAGTGTTTCAGCAAGAATCTGGCCCGAACTTTCTCCCTCCGTGTCGTGATAAGGATGGGTTAGATGACATGAGGAATGATATTAGTTTCATCCTTATTGGCCACGTTTCTTTAAATCTCAGCTTGACCGAATTCTTTCAGAACTTGAATTTCAGATCCTGTTTTAATTTGCTCGAGGATTGCTGAGTTTTCGGGAATAGAAGTACAGCTTCCTCTTTATTTGATCTTTTTCAACCAAAACCCCTGGTGTGGGGGCTCTGAGTGTATAGTCTCAGTTCTAACAGCAAAGTGGACAGTGGTTGCTGGGAGCAGTGGCTACTTAGGGGTGATCCTGTGATCCCAGCTACTTAGGGGTGGCTAAGGCGGGAGGATTGTAGTAAGTTCAAGGCCAGCCTGGGCAACTCAGTGAGACCCTGTCTCAAAACAAAAGAATAAAATGACTGGAGATGTTGCTTGCTGGCAAAGGGCCCCTGGGTCCAATCCCCAGTACTATAAGGAAAAAAAAAAAGTGGACAGTGATTGAATGATGGCTCTGTAATTGACTTCTCCATACATCTGATGAGGAAATAATCGGCCAGTTCAGAAGTTGGAGCCGCCATGCATTGTAATAAAAAGTCTTAGCAATTAACTCCGTGTCTCTGTGTATGTGTGTGCGCGCATGTGCACACACACGCACGCTTGCACATGCACGTGTACATGCACGTGCATGTGTGTTGCAAGTCCCCCTTGCAAGAATGCTACCTGAACAGACAGATGCCTGACAAATGACCTGTCCAGGGCACGCGCCTGTTGGAGGTGAGGAAGCATGATTCCCAGGATGGCTGTTTTCTATAGTGGTGTCTGTCCCCACTGAATGCGCGCTACCAGAGGACTTTTCCATTTCCTACTGGCCAGGCCACATTTGCTGTCACTAACTTGCCACCCTGCAGAGTTCTTTCATTAAGTCTTAAAGAGCTAAGAAATCAGCGAAATTACCCACAGATATATAAGAGGGCAGGACGACATTTTTATTGTTATTTTAAAATATTTTATTGAGTTCACACAAACAGAGCAATATCTTATTTATGAATCTAATATAAATGCCATAAAACATATGCAAAAATACATGAAATCTATGAACAAAACATTAACACTACTCAAATTCCACATGGTTTAATTTTACCAACATCCCCTGGGTTTCATGGAAAGAGTTTCAGCATAATTATTTTCAGTTCAATGTGAAAAAATATTAACTGAGTTTCTAGTAGGTGCCAGACACTGAATCTTTAGGAATGAATAAGACATGTGTCTGTCTTCTCCTTTCTCAAACTACACATAAACGGTCCTTATTAGTCTTTCTAATATGGATAGACAACCCATATGTAATTCTACATTTTGATAAGATTAAGCAAAAGGGATCTCTAAGTACCTTTATGTCCGAGATATTAGGCTAGAACAGAGATTGTGATGGTGAAGCTTGAAGGCTAATAGGCATGCTTAATTGAGCATGGCATTAATTTCTTATTTAACCTCATAAAAACCTTATGAGGAAAAGTAGATATTATTATTTCCTATAGTGACATTTCTGGACCAGTTTTGCTTTGTTTCAGACCTTACCAGTACACATTCTCCCCTCATCTATGAGAAGCAACTCAGCTTTCCTTCCAAGAGCTGTTATCTGTCTCTATAATCAGGTGTATGGGTCCCAACTCTGACTCCAGCAATAAGCACAAGGCCCAAGTTGGGACTCTGGGCAAAGAGGCTCTTCTTTCCCTGGGTTTGTCAAAGCTGTTTTGGTGGAAGCTCTAACCTGTGGTGGCCATCTTGCCCTTCCTGGGGAGATCTTGACTGAAAATGTGACCCACACAGAACTGAGATGTGGGGAAACAATTCCCAGTGCCAGAGTTTGAGATCCTCTGGCTGCATCTGAAATGAGCTCTTCAGCATTCTATCTTGGGCCCCGTAGTTATAGAGTTATAGTATTTAATACGTCCGTGTGTGTGTGTGTGTGTGTGTGTGTGTGTAAATCAGTTTGGTTTTAATTTTCTTTATTTTATAAACATCAGACTAACACAACCTCACCTTACACATGAAACTCCTAAACTTCCAGAGGCTAGTTTGTCTAAGATGATAGAACTAGTTAGTAGTAGAACAGGCTTAGAATCATCCTTGGAAGTTGGTGCCTTTAACCACCCAGGGAGACTGAATTCTCTCTCAGTATCAAGACTGAGGAGGAAGGTCTCAAAAGCAGAGCATTGGTATTAACCATGACCGAGCCAGGGCAGAGCTTGGGGACTAACTTCCAGACAGTGGAGGGGGAGATTTGAAGTCTAATATTCAAAATTAACCATAATGGAGAGGAGTGGGAGCCAAAGAAGTCAGTGCCTGAGCAGACATCCAGGGCCTGGCCAAGGGCTTTGCCATGTGGAAGGAGAGGCACATGTTCTTTCCTTTCCTCCATTTTTGATGGTAGTTCCTTTTCTGTATCTAAAGCTGGAAAGAAGGGAGAATAGTTTTGTTTTTTTTTTTTAACTCTTTACAATTTTGTGTCCTATCTGCTACAGAATAGGCAAGAAAAGCATAATCACAGCAGTTTCCTTTCCATGAAAACTGTCTGAGATCAAGGATGGATTCATTTTGATTTTTCTAAGTAAAAGATATATAAATGTGTTTATGGAGGATAATTCAGAAATTTCATAAAAGTATAAGATGACATGTTGCACACAATTTTAATAGACAATCATTGTAAACCTTGTTTATTTCCTCCTAATGTTATAATAATGACAGATTTTAAGCATCAAGAAAATACTGAGGATAATGAAATAAACTTCTATGAATCTACCAGTTTTATTTAACAAATTTTAACATTTTGCCTTATTTTTGAGCCCCCTGCCCCCTTTTTAAAGGAACAAAAACACTAAGAATCAAAGCTACTTATTCCACCTTCTTAAAGGTGGTATGGATTCTTCCTATCCTTGTTTGGATCATATCCATATGTGTCCATAAACAACACACAATTTCATGTGTTTTTTAAATTATATCCATTAAATCACACTTTTCCATTTCACAACTTGCCCTGTTCACTCAATGGTGCTCTCAAGATTTTTTTGTTTGTACATGTAAGTCAAATTCCTTCATTTAAACTATTGATAACATTCAATTTCATGACCATCATTTATTCCTTTTATTGTGTTGGATTTTTTGCGGCGGAGTGGATTACTGAGGTTGGAACCCAGGGATGCTTAACCACCGAGCTACATCCCCAGCCCTTTTTATATTTTATTTAGAGACAGGGTTTCCCTGAGTTGCTTAGGGCCTCGCTAAATTGCTGAGGCTGCCCTTGAATTTTCAATCTTCCTGTCTCAGCCTCCTGAGCTGCTGGAATTACAGGCTTGCGCCACCACACCTGGTATACTGTTGGATTCTTAGCTGTTTCCATTGTTTTGCCATATAAACAAAGCTGCAAAAAGCACCATGGTATGCATCTCTTGTGCACATGTGTCACAGCTTCTATACAATATGGTTCCAGAGATGAAACTGCTGTGTCAAAGGACACGAGCATCCAGTTGTGCCCATTTTTGTGAAGTTGCCAGCAGTAGACGAGAGATCCCACTTTCACAGTTTTGACAGCCTCTCGGTATTTTTAGGTTTTAAAATTTCTTTTCCTCTCGGTTGCAAAATATCCTGTTTTTATTTTAATATAACCAATTCTCAGTGAAGGTGGACATCTTTTTATTATTTACTTATTGTTTGAATTTCTTTTTCTGCAATTGCCTATTTGCAGCCTTTGCCCATTTTTAAAAAAATATATTTTTAGTTAAACTTTCGCAGTACTTGGAATTGAACCCAGGGCCTCACATATGCTAGGCAAGTGCTCTACCACTGAGCTACATCCCTAGCCCTTTTTATTTTATCTTTGAGATAGGGTCTTACTAAGTTGTTCAGGCTGGCCTCCAATTTGTGATCCTCCTGCCTCAGCTCCATTCTCACCAGAAGCTGAGATTACAGGTATGCATTACTGTACTCAGTTT